AAATTAGTTAGGGGAGTATACGGAGTCCTTCATATATATGTGATGCAAATCTAGCATCCTATATGGAGAAAAAAAATTATTTCGAAGTATATATGTGTATACATATATATATATATTTAAGCACATTCACGCACAACATCCTGCGAACGGCTCTTCATGTCCTTATATTCATTATTAGTTTTATAAAATTAAAAAATTGTATTTCTATTTTATATTGTTTTCTATTGTATATTGTTTTTCAATATAATAACGTACAAAAGTTTACTTGGTGCTACTTTTTGATATCACTTTCTTTGTAAAACAGGTTTTTAAAGAAAGAATGTTTTGTATATAAGTTTTTGTAAAGCAGGTTTTATAGAGAAAAAAATTTTGGTACCCAGCAAACAATTTGGTTGCGAGATGTCGCGGTTTTGTCGCCAACCGCCGGCGAAATTTGTAGACCAAATCTATATCCATCTGTGTCCTCATTAGGATATGGTTTGGCGACCATATCTGTCAAACATGTGAGATGTCAAAATGAAATCAAAATCATAACAAATCTGCCACTAGCAAAGCAAAGCCAAAGTGACGCACCAAATCCAGAACAGATTTGGTGATCGTTTGTTGGCGCCAAAATCGCTCCAATAATACACATTATATCTGTTACCAAAACTGTCAACAAAACAGTAGCAAATACAGACTAAATCTGTCGTTAGAAGCGCCGACAGATTGTTACCAAACGCAAATCAGATCTGTCCTCTAGAATCCAAGTGAAATTACTACAAACAAAAAGAAATACAGTGGTATATCGCCTTATCGGAAGAGAATTATATATATATATAATTCGAGAGATTTCACTCGAATTAATTTCTAGAAGCCTGATTCAGCTCGTTGATCAACCGATGAACTCCATTGAAAGAGACCGAATCCGAAAAAATCCTAAATGTGATAGCAGGATTTGAACTCGAGACCTCCATATTTGCAATCCCTGCACTCAGTTCGCGAGACCACTTGTGTTCCTTACTAACATATAATTATTTTTATCTATTTATTCTCAAGCTATCCTACATTTCATTTATTATTTATTTCAATTATTATTTTACTAAAAATGTTGCAATGCAATGTACCTGCAACAATAAATAAAAATACTTTTCTTATTATTCTTAACCTCTTAGGCACTATGCGCCACTATAGTGGCTTTCGCGGATTTATTAGAATAAATTGTTAAAGTTAAAATGCGTGTATCATATTTTTAAGAAAAATTATAATTTAATCATCAAACACTTCATTCCAATGTACTTGTGTAAAGAACAGCATTATCCGTCACACATTGCAGTGCCGTATCATTTACACGTAATTCGCGTTGAACTCTGCCGTACAGAGAAACAGCCCCGCGCAAAATTCAGCCGTGCCTAAGAGGTTAAATATAATTTAAAGTACATTTTTACAACGCGAACAAATGTTTTGTTAATAAATGCTGATACTTGAATAAACAAAGTGTTTTTTAATGGATTTTTGGTCACTGAAAATGAATCCGGCGGCAAAATCGACCTAACACGTTAAATTTCTGAGAAAATTAGAGTTAAATGTATAACGTACTGTCTATTAGCNTGAGAAAGAGCATATCAGTGTATCTCATTCACACTAGTGGACATTGTGTTACACAGTGTTGACCGTACGTAGCTGGAAAGCACCTATTGTTTCATATTACTCAACAAATACGAGAATAATACATTAAATTTATGATTGCTTTATTGCCGAATGCGTATAAACAGAAGTATTAAAATCTTACAGTTGAACTTTACCGGTTCCAGCATAAGTTAACAGTTATTGCCCGCATAAACAAGGTGTAACTGTAAAAGACTGTTCAATGTTAGGTAACAATCTGTTATCAACATAGGCAACAGATACAATCGCAGATAATCGCCACTTTGTTGCCTACATGTCAAACAGATAGTCGAGTAGTCTTGCGTGCAAACAGTTCGCACATATGCACGAACAAATCTGCTTGGCGTTTGGTGGCAATCTGTCGTCAATGCGTTCAACAGATCGACCCGACTGCGGTCAACGTTTTTTTATAAACAGATGCTCATACGGTTTTGCGGACTGTTTGGTCACAGTATTGCTAAAGCAGATCTGCTTGCAACCATCTATTTGTTATCAATTTCACTAACATATATGGAATCATTTTGGCCGCAATAGTCTCATGTATATGCCAACAGAGTTGTTGCGTTTTTTGTCTCTATGTGCTAACAGTTTTGGCAGCACCAAAGCATGTTTCCGTATTGTAGCGTTTCTGCACACAGTTTCTGTTGCCAAGGTCTGCGCAGTCAGAAATTGTTTGCTGGGTAATTATTTAAATTAGGGGCTTCCTCACCCTCGATTTTGATAAGCTTGAAATATGTTTTTAAGGACGTTATTTTGAACAACTTTTTTCTATACATGTTACCGCCGCTCAGCTTTAGTTTTTGAGGGTCTTCTCAAAAAAGTTTCACAAATAAATTCTTTGTTTTTCAACATCGTGTTGATTTCTGAAGTAAATATGTTGTTTGTACAACACGTGTTGTAGAGAGAGTGGTAAGATTTTGGGAGAAGTGGTAAGATTTTTTTCTTTCCCCGAAGAAAACTAACCTAATTTTGGTTAAGTTTTTCTTAACATTGGATTGAGTTAGATCTAGTCGTGGAGCAGAGGAAGGAGCAAAGCCACTCCCCCTGCGGGGTGGGGGAGCAGCTTCCCTGCTTACACATGTTATTAATGAAATACAAACAACATATGTACTTCAGAAATCGACACGATGTTGGAAAACAAAGAATTCATTTATGAAACTTTTTTGCAAAAAACTCGGAAACTAAGACTGAGCGGCAGTAACATGGATAAAGAAAAATTGTTCAAAATGTTGATCTTGACAACATATTTCAAGCTTATCTAAATGGGTGAGGAATCCCTTAATCTAAATAATTACTAAAATTTTTGTAGTAAAAAAGAATTAGGTAATTATTGAATATAAGGGATTAAGGTCCGATGACTTTATCTTGATATATGTTGTAAAGGGCACTCTCCTGAGTAGTGTTCAAGAGATTTTAAGCGTCGCTCAGTTTTTATTAAAAAAGTATTCGTAAGAAATGTAATCACAAAAATGACCATTAAAAACCATTAAGAAAATTGTAATTTTGTTCGTGTTGTAACTGTGTAAGCAAGGGAGCTTTGCACTCCCTGCTTCCTCCAAAATAATCACGTACACATTTTTGACATGAAGCGACATTTAATCGGAAGTCGACGTTGTTTTTATCAAGAGGGAAGCAAGAGGAGAGGCAAAGCCAATTCTCCTGCAGAGGGGCAAAGCCCCTTCTGCCTACACTCTTATAACACAAACGAAAAGAACATCATCAAAGTAGTCATTGTAATATACTATTATATTTTTAATCTTGTTATTCTGTTCTTTCTACATCACAAATAAAGCTGCCATAATGTCAAAAAATTTATCATTCCGCTGGTGGTACTGAACGTTACGTTTGAAAACAAATTCAACTAAATAATGAATGTAACGTTCCGTTCAGACGTATTGTTATTGTATTGTGGAATTCCGCCTCGAATATCACGCCATAAATGTTCATGAGAACAATTATGCGTCAAATGCAGAAATTCATGAACAACATATCAAAAGCCACTTTCGACAACGATTTTGTATTTATGTGGAACTTCGCTCGGAATTATGGATAAGCTATTTCGCGCTCCGAAACATCAACTGACTAATAGTCAACAACACCGTTTATAAATATGTATCATTATATCAGCAACTCAGAATGTCTTTCTAGAAATGATAACTACGAGCAAATGTAAATTCCATTCTATTATTCTATATGTTATTAATGAAAATAAAGACCGGAATTTTCAAACATTTTTGTTAATAACTTTTTAATGAACAATGAGCGACGCCTACAACCTCTTGAACACTATCCAGCAGAGTGTCCTTTACAACATATGTCAGATAAAAGCAGATATAAACTTCAGATAAAAATTTGCCAAATAAAAAGTTGTCTCAGAATTTAATCAAGAATATGAATTTTCAAAGATAAAAGGTTGTTCTGAATCACCCTGTATATACAATAATATATATGTGTATATATTTTTTTGCAGAGATCTTATGTACAGGCTTTCCCACACCGCAGATATAAAAACATCATACAAGAATCGGAAAACGAGAAGGAAAATATTTTTTGAAAGTGTTTCTATAGAATCTAGATTAAACAAATTATATGATATTATTTATAACTGTTCATTGGATACCGTATGTTTATTGCCTACTTGTCATGTTGCCTACTTGTTATGTGTGACGTTCTTATTGCGGCAATGTTAAATTGTGTTAAAACCTTGGCCGCGCCAAGTTTTTTTGCATTAAATATTTTTTATTTTGAAAATAGTTCCACATAAGTTTTCGACTTTTTACACAAAGCGAAGTCTATAAATTTGTAATTTGACATGGTTTTAGGTTTTTCACGCAAAGCTATTTTTATAATTTTCTAATATTTTATTTTGTAACGGTGTATAAATGTATAAGTTTTACTTGGCGCTAGTTTCTTTGTGGAATAGATTTTGTAAAGAAAGACTTTTTATGTAGTACCAGTAATATAGTAATACATTTCTAGAGATATGAGTTGCGCGTGTACTTGGTGCCTTTGTTTTACCTTTTTTTGAAAAAGTAATGTTTCAGGATAAAACAATATATGCAATGCAATTTCAAAACATGTACAGTAGCGAGAGTAAATTTCTGCTAATATATGGTCACAATTTCAAAAGCGCAATGCTATCTTCTGATGTAAACTTGGTTGCAAAAAAAGATAAAGAAACTTTCTTGTTCTCACGCATTTTTTACATACGCGCGTGACTACCTGCGTAAGGTCGTAGCTTGCGAGCGCGTTGCACATCACAATTCGTATAATATGCGAAGATGTATTTTCATGGTTTTATGCTCACCGGTAGATCTTACCAGGTGTTATTGAATCATCGCAAATATTTTTAGTTTTAGGAATGTACGAGAAGACAGCGTAATTGACGAAAACAAAAGAAACCAAAAATGTCACAACAGAGGAGGATCTTTTCTTTATTAATACCATATTTCTGGCAGATTACAGTGGGTTTGCTGATCTTCATTGTCCAGTGCACAACAGGTATGTGCGTACATTATCTTTTATAATTGTTATTCTTTTAACACTTATAGCACTATATTTTCCAATAAAGACTTTTGATAGAAAAGTACATCATGTTGATTCAAGCATGAAAAAATAAACGATCCATACGTTTGGAAAGTGTGCTGAACACTAACGTTTTCTTCTGTGTAATTATCAACAAGAGGCACGGTAGCACCTCGCGCCAAGTTCACGCGCAACAAACTGCGCGAGCACACCTTTTATACGCGAAATCCAGATATTTGAGACGTGGGGAGATTTTCACGGAGCAATATTTCCGACTGAACCAATCAATTGCGTTTTAGTCTTAAATAGATTCAGAATAAAACATGTAGAAAAAAAGTATTCTTGCGTTTTTTTGTCTGTGGCTTCTGATCAAAGATATGCGAATAAAAAGTTACAAGTGAGAAATTCACGTAAGAAACGTTAGGGTTACCTTTACTTCACCGACAATCATTTCATCAATAATCGTTTCACCGACACCATTTCATCGACACCGCATTTCACCGACAATATTTACTTACCGACACGTTTAGATCATCGACAATCATTTCCAAAACCACCAACAATGTTTTCATCGACATCGAGCTTCGCCGACAATGTTTATGATAACAAATAAACATATAAGATAAATTATTATAGAAATTGACATTAATACTTTTATATATATATATATATAAAAGTATTAATGTCAATTAATATATATATATATTTCATTACTTTTTCATTTTTTTAGAAAAAAAGTCGGGAAACATATACAGAAATAAATTTTGTGAAGGCATTTTTTGTTATTTGCATAACTTGCAAATGTAATGATTCAGTTATTGATGTTTACACTATCGATTAAAGTTATATTGAGTTAATATATCTAATGATTTATGTTATCCAATTTATTAATTATGTATTCATGAAGTAAGATGTCATATTGTAAGATGTTATATTTCTTGATATTAATCATTAATATATAAAACGCAGTATTATTTTATGTCCTAATTTATGTAATAAGATAGAAAAAGCAATGAAATAAAAGTATTAATGTCAATTTCTATAATAATTCATCTTATATGTTCATTTGTTATCATAAACATTGTCGGCGAAGCTCGATGTCGATGAAAACATTGTCGGTGAAATGATTGTCGATGATCTAAACGTGTCGGTAAGTAAATATTGTCGGTGAAATGCGGTGTCGATGAAATGGTGTCGGTGAAACGATTATTGATGAAATGATTGTCGGTGAAGTAAAGGTAACCCGAAACGTTATTATTGTCGTTCGACAAAAATGCGTGCATGTTTCTATGCCTACTAACAGATGACATACATGTATCGACCGCGTTGAGAGAAGAAAAAGATAGAAAGACAAGAAGTGTGGGTTAGAGAGAGAGAAAGAGAGAATCAAGAGGCAGTAGTTTGCGCCGGCAACACCTCCAATAATACCGATCGCTTCGATAATGTTTCTCGCGGCGTAGTGATTTCGCGTCAGCAACACTTCCGATATACGTGTTTTTAATAAACTGTGTTTTAAAACTTGGCACAAATTAATTACAAACTGTATACTTCAAATTTATGAAGTAGAAAAGTACTTCACAAAAACGGAGCAGTCCATCGCGGCATGGTTGTTTTGTGCCAGCAACATTTCCGATATATATTTTTTTAATCACCTGTTTTGAAACGTGGCACAAAATCACACACACTACAAACTATATAACTTTACCCTTATAAAGTAAAAAGTTAAACATTAATAAATTAAAAATTGATTTAATACTACAAAGATTCTTTCTCTATAAGATTTGTTTTACAGAATTAAATAATACTGCAAAATACAAAACGTGATATTTCAAAAATCTTACTTTTTCAAAAAAAGTAAGAACAGGCGCTAAGTATACGCCCAACACGTATTGTATTTAAATTAATAAATTAAAAATTGATTTACTACTACAAAAATTTTTTTCTCTAGAAAACTTTTACAAAATTATATATTCTAAACCATTCCTTTTTCCCACAAAACTTTTTTTTTGTAAACCCTTTTTATAAAATATACAAAAAGTTTTTTTTCAATAAAACCTAGTTTACAAAGTATTATATACTATTGGGAGTACAAATTAGTTCGGTCCGTTTTTTGTGTTCAAAAATACATTTATTTCAAAACAAAATAAATGAACAGATTAATTAAAGTATTGTCTATTGCTGGCTACTATTTTATCCCATCTCTCAGGCAATTTTCAAATTCCATCTCGAAAAAATGACTCGTCTTTGGAGGCAATCCAAGTTTGGAGCCAATTTTCGATTTCTGCAAAAGAAGTGAATCAGTGACCTGCCAATTCGTGCTTCATTCTTTGGAACAACCAGTAATCAGAAGGAGCAATGTCCGGAGAATACGGCGGGTGCGGTAAAACATCCCATTTGAGCGTTTCCAAATATTTTTTTACGACTTTAGCGACATAAGGCCGAGCGTTGTCATGAAGAATAATAACTTTATCATGTCTTTGCTCATATTCCGGCTGTTTTTCTCGCAATGCACGGCTTAAACAAATCAATTGTAGCCGATACAGATCGCCTGTAATGGAATTGCCAGGTTTCAGCTCATAGTAAACACCTTTTTGGTTCAACCAGATACAGAGCATGATTTTCGAACCATGAATGTTCGGCTTTGGTGTTGATGTTGAGGTCGATGGCAACGATTGACCGGGCTTAACGTAGTATTTTTTCTTCTTAGGGTTGTCGTAGAATATCCACTTCTTATCTTCAGTCAATCCAATGCGAAAAACCTTTTCTTTGTTGTCTTTGAATCAGCAACTCGCAAGTGAAAAATCGCCTTTCAACGTCTCTCGGTTTCAATTCATAAGGCACCCAATTTTCTTGTTTTTGAATCATTCCCATGCCTCTCAATCGTACAGAACGGGCTTGTTGAGTTACTTCCAATAATTCTGCAAGCTCCTCTTACGTTTGAATCTGACCTTCTTTGAGTAATGCCTCCAAGTCTTTGTCTTTGAATTTTTTTGGCTGTCTAGAGCGAGGCTTGTCTTCAACGCTGAAATCTCCATCCTTGAAACGTCGAAACCATTCCCTACATGATTTATCAGTTGGAGCAATGTCACCATAAACTTCGACAAGCATTCGATGGGCTTCAGCTGCACTTTTCTTCCAATTAAACCAGAAAATTAAAACCTCCCGCAAATGCTGCTTAGTTAACACAAAAGTCGACATTTCAAACACAATAAAAATCAAGGTTTTTGTATGAAACTCAAAGCGATATAAACTGAATATCATTAACAGATGTCTAACCTCTCTGAAACCGCCAAAATCAGCTGTCACTATGAACCATTCACAACAGCCGGAGCCATCTTTTGGAAACGGACCAAACTAATTTGTATTTCCAATATATTGATGTATGTATATATACGTGTTTACACGTAAATTTTTGCACATGAGATTTTTAATTAAAATATCAATTTTTATAATCATATAAAAGTTGCATCACATATATGAGAGACCCCGTATACCCCCCTAACTAATTTTAAAATATTGCGAAAAAAACTTCTCAGCCAAGAGACAAACCTGAAATTTCCGGCTCTCCGTTGGCTTTCTTATTCGGCCACTGAGGCACTTAATGTACGTAAATGTTTTTTTCTGGAAGTTTTCATTAATTACTGCTTTCACTGTTCTACCATTATTTCGAAAATATATCGTAAGGACAGTTGTAACTTGTCTCTATATGCGCTTTGCCACCTAAGCAGGTACTTAATTTTTCGTAAATATCTTGAAAACTAAAACTGAGCGGCGGTCATATGTATAAAGAAAATTGTTTAGAATGTTGACCTTGACAACATATTTTAAGGTCATCACAATCGGTGAGGTTCTTCCTAATCTAAATAATTACCTTCTTTTTTTGTGATTAACGTGTTCCGCTAGATTTATCATAAATATAAAAAATATTTATCAATTAGAAGCAGCAAGTAAAATGGTAATAAAATCAACATTAGGTAACTGTTTGTCTGAACAGTCTGAACATTACTGCATGTCATTATGTACTTGGTGAAGTTTAAGTTTGTTGCATTCTATTTTTTACATCTAATAGGAAACTAAATTTATTTTTTTTTATTAGGATGTCAGTTTTATCCCGTCGGAGAATACCTGAAATTTGTAAGAGTGCCAGAAAATTTAGAGATAAGAACAGAAATTCTTTCACTAGAAGTTCATCCAAGAAATCGGCTTGTCATTATACCAGTCGACAAGGTAAAAACTTTTTATATTTTTATTTTTCACCTTTTTGTCAATAACAATATTGTGCAATATAAATTTTACAGGAAGAGGATGCTGGTTTCTTCACTTACAAAGAGACAAATACGACGCACATTTCTATAATTTTAGCGCAATCTCTGGAAGATCTAGTGGACACAGAAACTCCAAGAAACTTATTGAAGTTTCGAATTAGTTGTGACTCGGATGCTAGTGATTCAGTGGTAAGTTGCCCAGTTATAATCAATAACATTGAAGAACACAAACACTTTTTTCTTATTAAAAACAGGTTTAAATTATATATATAGTAGTGGGCCCAGATAGTGTACCGTTAAGGAAATTTTCTTAGATATCAATTAATTACACAATATTTTAACTTCAGTTAATATTGGAAAAAATATGTATTCAATTTTTAGGCTGTTCTTTTTGTCAAAGTATTTTTTAAAAAACAATTTTATATTAATCTAAAAAAACAATTATAGTATCTAAAAAACAATGTTATATTACTTTTAATAAAATAAAAATGTTAAATTTTGCTGCAATTGTATCCTTCAAGACAAAAAGAATGTATTAATGTGTTCCCAGTTAGTGTGCCTGTAATTGTGCGTTCACAGTTACTGTGTGCCTGTCTCGAATTGTGTGCTCGCAGTTACCTATATCTCTTTTTATATATTATATTTTGGCATATTTAAAAAAATTTAAAAGTTTGCAGGCTGCATTAATAGATGTTCCAGATTTAGAGCTTCCAAAACTTTTAACATAACTTTCTTGCTGTACATTTTTCTCTTCTTTTTTGAGATGCAGTTTATTTTAGTATCTGTTTAAATAATAATTAATAAATATATTTTAAAAGTATAAGTATTCATTTTCAAAAAAACATTAATTTCTACTCATAAGGGAACCTCGGGAACCCAAAAATTCTGATTTTGATGAAACTTTGCACACATGTAAAGAAGGTCAATAAATAAATATTGACATTTTCCGTTGCTTAAAAACGGTTTTAAGAGGTGTCACTCCTTATATGTAGAGCGGCTTTTCACTTTTCTCAATGTATCTTGACAATTATTGGAGATATTGAAAACTGTTTTATACAAAAATTTCATAAAAAGAAATCCTTTATATATATATATATATATATATATATAT